CAGCAACTTGTCTGTTCCCCTTCCCCCAATTCCCCAGCACTGTTCCCATCCCCCCAATTCCCCAATAAAAATCTTTAAAAAAAAAAAAAGTATGCCCCATTTAAAAAACAAAAATATTAAAGAACTTTGTTCAGTGAGATGCTGCAGTCACATTTGTTATTAACCAGTTAAATTAAATATTTACTGAATACCACTCATATATGCCAGGCATTGTGGTAGAACCTGGGGATTCGAAGTTAAATGAGTCACAATTTTTGTCATTAAAAAATATTAAACCAGGGCCGGCCGAGTGGTACGTTGGTTAGGAGTTGGCTTGGGATGCCAGCTCTGAGCAGCAGGGCCCCGGTTCAGATCCCACATGAGGGTCAGTGACACTGCGCCCTCTACAGCTAAGATGGTGACCAACAGCTCGACCTGGAGCTGGGCTGCTGTGAGTCGCCAGTGATGGCGTAGGCTGCAGTGGGGCTGGCCGGCAGCGGGCGTGACCTTTCATGAGCTGCCTGAGCCACCGTGAGCAGCAGTCCAATGGCCAGCAACCAATCTCTGCCTCACGCAGGAAGAGAGCAATGATAACACCAACGTGGGCCAGTGAAGCGACGTCCTCCACAACTAGACTGAAGAACCAAAGGACAGCAACTTGTCTGTTCCCCTTCCCCGATTCCCCAGTGCTGTTCCCCTCCCCCAATTCCCCAATAAAATCTTAGGAGAAAAAAAAAAACACAAAAAAAACTATTAAACCAAAAAATCAGCCTATCACCTATAAAACATATATAAATGTATTATTTATATATTTACTACATATATTTAGAAAGTTAAATGTAATAAAAATACAGGTGGATCTATTTGGTCTCAAAGACAGCCATTCTCTTTGGAGAGAATGCCTTGATTCTAATGGAACCAGTAGGAAAAATCAATACCCTAGCCTAGACTTTGTGAAAAGCAAGAGTAGTAACAAACGACCTGGAATGACCACGAGCTTGACCTGACCTATGGTAAACTAAAGTCTTTGGGACTGATTTTCTACACGTACAAATGTTGTACCTTCTATATTACGTCACAGAACAAGGACAACCATTATAAGATTTAACATAAATTGTAAAATATTCACTCTATGAGGGCCGACCGAGTGGCTCAGTTGGTTAAGAGCTCGCTCAAGAGTTTGATCTCTGAGCAACAGCGGTTCGAGTCCAGCCCGAGCTGAGCAGCCGCTGAGCTGACAACAGGTAGCAGGATGGCTCAGCTTAAAAAAAAAAAAAAAAATTCACTCTATGTAACACAAAAAAATAAAAATAAAAATAAGCTTATTCTCTTGTTATTCATCTCCCCAAGATACTTGATGCTGTTTGAACAGTTCATATGGCTTTCCTTCCAACTCATGTCTCAGAGATGGCGTTCTTTGACTCGTATTTTTAGATCCCTACTCTTCAGGTTTAGTACCATTACATTTCTCTCAAGGTAAATAAGTATTTCATCTCACTTAAACCTATATATTTTTCCTTTCTCATATGGGCAGATTCTTATTGAAAATGCTACAGAAGTTTCCCCACAGACACCTTAACGCTCTAAGATATATTTCATCACCACAATAAACGTGAGATTTGCTTATAAATAATAAATTACTAAATTACAGCCTCCACACTTCCATTGAATGGATAAATAGGGCCATAAGGTTTCTTAGCATTCATTAACTGTGATAACTTATTTGTACACAGCTCTAAAGGATTTCAAAACCCAATTTCTAAGCCAGCAGTTTTAAAACTTTTTGATCGCAGAATCCTTTATCAGTTTCAAAAATTACTGAGGACCTCGGAGAACTTTTATGACATTATAACGAAGATTTTTTTAAATGTTTACTTATTTTAAAATAATGTACCCATTACGTGTTAACATAAATAACATTTTTAATGAAAATAACCATATATGCCTAATAAAATTTAGTGAAAAAATGGCTTAAAAGAAAAGAGCTGGAATCTCAAATCTGCTTCTGCATTCACTTTGTCATTCTGGTTGAAGTACTCGTATATGAAGAAAATCTGCCTTCCACAGCTAAGTATAGTTAGGAAAGGACAAAGCAATTTAACTGATGGTTTCTTAAAAGTTAGCTGCAATGTAGAATCTGAAACCATACACCAATGAACTTGAGATACTCTCAGATTAAAATCCATTAATTTATCTTTCACTCTGAAGGGATTCTGCAACATCATGCATTGGCCACTTGGAAAACAGTTCAGTGAATAATGCAGGTATTCCAAATGCTAGCACATTTCTCCGGAGAATATCAAACAATTGCATTTCTTAATATCAACACTGATCTCCCCTTGACGCTTAAGTAAACATCTTTCTAATATTCAGTGCATCAAAATGGGAAGCGTGAATAATGCACCTCTGCTGCATGTGGAATAATTATCTCAAGGAAAAACACTTGTGCATTTGAGCTGAGAGTTGAACTGGTCACTTTTTTCATGGAACGCAACTTTTACTGGAAATGTGACCAATTATGATTATTCAGACTTGGGCATTTGGTCAATCTCATGGACCCCTGAAAGGACCTGTGGGGAAACTCAAGGTGCCCACAGACCATACTTTAAGAAACACTATCCTGAGCAATAAGGCAAAAATATTCCACAATTTCCTGAGTCACCATAAACACCAGAAAAACACAAATGTTAAATAAAAATACCTAAATATTTTTGCTTAAATCCAAGAGACAGAAAATCAGTCCCAAAGTAAAATACACGATAAGCCCCATATATGGCCCATATCAGACTCAAGAACATGAAATTCTTTTATCAAACACTTATTCAATCTTCACAACATAAACACATTTTAGAACATATTAAGACCATAAAAAAGTAAAAAAACAAAACAAAACAAAAAAGCCTCATGGATATGTCAAGTAATTAGACCACAAAAGTAGAATGTCAACTGTCAATTAGTAACAGCTAATGCTATTAGGCACTGTGCTAAGCACTTTATATGGTTATTACATTCAATCCTCAAGACAAACCTGTAACATAAATACTACTAATTCCCATCTCACATATAAGGAAACTGAAATATAAGTAGTTTGCCTAAGGTTAGAGGCAGGATGAAAGTTGGGATTTAAAACCAGCACCTGTCACTTAACTATACTGCCTCCTGCAACAAAGTCAAATGCTCATCCTACAGAAAAATTGTGGATTAGTCTCTGGCTGAAGACAATGTTAAGGGGAACGGGGGGGGAGGGGGGGGGCACGGGCACACAAACTATACAAACTCACAGTTTTTAGTTCCATCAGAACTTGTTCATCGACTCCATCATCCAGAAAAATGTCTCTCACATCATTGATAACATCTTCAATCACAGATCGGTATAATTTAGGCTTTAAATGAAAAATAAAAGACTGTTGAAAAATGTCATTTTTCACATATTAAAATGTGTAACACATTTTCACAAATTCAATATAATACAATAATAATTTCTCCAACTATCTAAAACTTATTTTAGAAGATATAACTTTAAACATACGGCTATCCTAGTAAACATCATTTGCCTTGGTTAGGCTGAATTACCTGATGACTGCATATTTTAAAAGAAGTTCTAAGACTATAACGCAATTCATATACACAAAGTCCTTGTATACAAGGTCCACACAATTGCCAGTTATAACTTCCAGTGTTGTAGTCAAAACACCTACTGTGATCCAATAATAGCTTTCTGGGTTGCTATGCCTGGTTCCTATTATTCCTTATTTGGTTTGACCCATTATATCTCATCATCTTGTCACTAACTAAGTTTTAGACTTTAGAGAACCTTATGTACTACAGTCATTTGCCCGGATATAATCTGAACCCAATAACTATTCAAATTTTAAAAATCGCCTAACTTGTTTTTGTTACCCAGTCTGTACCTTTAAGTTATCCCATTAAACTGTTCATATACCCACAATAACAGGCCTCAAAATCCCACAGGAGCAAGGCATTGATCTCTTTCCCAGGATTCATCTCCTTCTACTATTGCTCAGCTGATGCTATGAAACAGAATCATGAACCACCTTAATGTTATTATTATTATTACAATTATTGTTGGTATTACTTGGGGGTGGCAGGGGAAACTTGCTTCTTGAAGGTTGATATGGATAAAATGAAAATAGATGTGAAAACACTTTGAAAAGTATAACGTACAGTAGTTCTCCTTATCCGTGGGGGATACGTTCTAAGACCCTGAGTGGATGCCTGAAATTGGATAGTACTAAACATTATATATACTAGGTTTTCTCCTATACATACATACCCATGATAAAGTTTAATTTATAAATTAGGCACAGTAAGAGGTTAATAACTAACAATAGAATACAACAATTACAATATACTATAATATGTGAATGTGGTTTCTCTCTCAGAAATTTAATTTTTGAAAAATTTCCAAAAAAATTCCATGAATTTAATACGTTTCCCATCTTCATGAAGCATTTATCATGCACTGTGCCTGTAACTTTTGCAGTCTGAGGTGTGACAGCAAAACTAGCACACATTTCTTTTCCCTTCTCCACAATTTCTGGGACAGATTTGTTCTTACCATAGATCTTAGCAACCTCAGCATTCGATTTAAAAAAACTTTTTTGTTCCTTATTAAGTTAAACTTTCACCCTTTCACTTAATGAAAGTACTTTACAGCTTTTTTTCTGGCATAGTGAATTGCCACCAGCACTATTTCACTTTGGGGCCATTATTAAGTAAAACAAGCGTTACTTGAATACAAGCACTGCGACAATGTCACAGTCCAAAATAAGAGGGGAGCATATACAGCATGGATACTGGACAAAGCAATGATTCAGGTCTTGGCAGTACAGAACAGCGGTAGATTTCAAATTTATGAAATGTTTATTTCTAGAATTTTCCATTTAATATTTTCAGACCTCGGCTGACCATGGACAACTGAAATCACAGACTGGGGAGGTGGTGGGGGAGAGGGGCTACTGTATTTTTTAAGAACCAAAAGTTGGAAAACGATTTGCCCAACCCACATCCTATTTTTAACATGTTAGACAAAAGAAAGTTTGCATGTCAGAGTGACAAAACTAGAGTTGCCTCATTATAAATCCTATCATCATACAAAGTCATTTTTTAATGCTTTGTCATTATTTGTGTTCTGTATCTTGCTTAAAGTAAAAGTTGCTTGTTACCCAATAAAAAAACAAGGATTTGCTCTCATAAGCAAACCCAAAATAGAAGTAAATGTTTCATCAGCATCACTATCAGCAACACAGCAACACTATTATCACAGGGGAACCCTGTAAGAAAATGTGTCCCTGTCTAGCCAAAAATACAAACAGAGTTCCTCTCTGTACAACTTACATCAGCTACTAGTAACTATTGGTCCCTTTTCATTATAACCAGAAAAACAATTCATACATCTGGGCTCTCATCTTTGCTGCTCCACTAACTTGCTTTTTTATTTTGCCAAATCTGCCTCTGAGTTTCATGAAAAACTGTGCATCTTTACAGTGCCTCCTTATTTTAACATTCTGATTCGATATACAAGGAAAGTGTATCTATGGGTATCACCTTACCTATAGCAATTAAACTACTGAATTACAAACAAAAATACATTTACAGTTACTCAAGGCATTATAAAGACACAGCATAATTTTAAACTGGTTGTATAAGTATTAAATTAATAATATAGATTTTTCATCAAACTAAATGTTTTGATGTTTCTGAAGTCAGTCACCCCTAACAATCTCCTACTTGGTGATCCAGACATTTACAGGTACAAATGTACTTTCTTCTGACACTCCCAATTTAATGAATCAACCTTGCTTCTATGCCTTAATTAACCCACAACTTGACCACTGAATGGATTCATAAGCACTATAATTGAAGGAAAATATGTATTCTTCATGAACCATACGCCTAAATAATTTAGCAGAATTGTTTAGTTGAAAAACCCTCAAAATACTGTTTTAAAAAGTACATGGGTACATAGACACTTTTTGAAACAAGCAATTTCCAAATCATTATTTAAAATGCTAAACTTTACTTGAACTGAAGTTTTTGCCTTTTATGAAATACAAACCAGGAAGTTTGTCCTGGTTTTCAAAAAATAGGTATTTCCAAACTTAAAAACTAGTAAATTAAAGGACCACGGTGGCATTATCTAACGTTTAATTAGAAGGTTCCTTTCAAAAGCGTTATATTGGTGCAATATTAGAAAATAAGTTGAATTTCTATATTGCATATATTAATATCCAATGCAATAAAAATGCAATGAAAAACTGTCTACTTAGAATTTAAATTTTTGTTTAAATCCACTAAGTCCTCTCATTACTCACAATTCTACACATAAACGTGCTGTGGACATAAGGTCATACATTGAAGCTTTAGGCACTCATTTCCTTTAAAAGTTTCGTGTCATTGGTATTTATTATAAGATAGCATAATGAAATACTAAGAGCTACATTTCTAACATTATTTCCTGAATACTTGATGAAAAATTATCAAAGTCAAATTCTCTGCAATTAAGTTAATGTAGAAGGCATTTTTTTTAATTCCCGACAATGCACACATTTTCTAATGCAAGAACGAATACACATTTGAATTAAAATTCTCTTTAAAAACAAAAATAAATATAAATAGCAATTCTACTTCCCCCTAACAAGGACGGCAAATCCCAGCTGCTGCATCCAAACAAAAATCTGAGGCTCTGAAAGCAGCCTCGGTTGGATGCGAAATTACAGTATAAGATCCAGAAATAAACTGAGCTCTGCACGCGCCTGCCTCTCGCCTAGGGAGCACGCACCTCCCAGCCCCGCTCTCAGCAGCTCTCACTATTTAAAGCCGGATCTGGTGTTTAAATGGAGAGGCGGTGACGTAGGCCTGAAAAGCACCTTCCCATCCTGGCAGAGTCTATATTAGAGAGCGGCAATGGCTCTATATAAACAGGGCAGCCAAAGGGAGGAGGACCACAAGGCTCAGGGACTGAAAAGCAGGGTAAGCGGCCGCAGCCATGATGGATCGACCCGAGTCGCCAACGGTACGGAGTCGGGCGGCCGCGGGCTTGTCTGCGGCATTTGGGACCGGGCAAAAACGTGTTTTATTGTCACAATAAAAATAAGAGTGGGGTGGAACAGGGATCACATTGCGTTGGTGACTGAAAAGGTTATGTGACTGCTTTTTGCAAACCTACGTGATCGCAAGTAACCAAAAAGGGACAAACGGGGAGAAGTACGCAAATTTCAAGGCAAAGCGGTGGCACTTTGGCCACGGTAGGCTTTTTTTTGTTGTTTGCTTTGGTGCTTTTGCTAGATGAAGATACGATGAGGGTTTTGCTTCCCCTTCGCCATTTTACCAATTCGGAAGGAACCGAGATAAGTGCTTTTCAACCTTCGTCCTCTTTTTTCAAACATAAAATGGCCCCAGTGAAGGCTCCCTAAGCACAACCGACCGAAACACCCCAAGTAACCCCCAAGCAGCCATGGGCTTCCACTGCATTAAAGTGGGTCACGGTGGTCTTGGGGATTCGCCCAATTCCCCAGGCGAGGGTTTTGTTTTGAGGCTGCTCGGGGAGCCCTCCGGCCAGCGCGGCCGGGCCCACTTCGGGGCCAAGCGGCGGCTCGCCTCCCTCCCTCCCGGCGGCCGGGGTCTGGGGCCGGGGCCGGGGCCGCGCGC